GAGGACGAGAAGGAGGAATAGGAGGAGGAGGAGGAGGAGGAGGAGGAGGAGGAGGAGGAGGAGGAGGAGGGAGGGGGGAGGAGGAAGAGGAGAAGGAGAGGAGGAGGAGGAGGAGGAGGAGGAGGAGGAGAAGGAAGAGGAGGAGAAGGAGGAGGGATGAGGAGGGGAGGAGGAGGAGGAGGAGGAGGAGGAGGAGAGGAGGAGGAGGAGGAGGAGAAGGAAGGGAGGAGGAGGGAGGTGGAGGAGGAGAGGAGGGGGAGGAAGAGGGGGGGAGGGGGAGGGGGAGAGGAGGAGGAGGAGGAGGAGGAGGAGGAGGAGGAGGAGGAGGAGGAGGGGGAGGAGGGGGAGGAGGCGGGGAGGAGAGGAGGAGGAGGAAGGAGGAGGAGGAGGAGGACGAGGAGGAGGAGGACGAGGAGGAGGGGGAGGAAGAGGAGGAGGAGGAGGAGGAGGAGGAGGAGGACGGGGGGGAACGACCAACAGGTGAAGCCTCGCATACAAAGACGTGTCTGATTGCAAAGTAGCAGGGCCTCTCGCGAATTTGTAAACGTTCTCTCCGCCAGCGTCTCGACATTGGGTGGCGGGGGGGGGGGGGTCTGGCCCCGGACCCCTGCTTCATGCGACTGCTTTCACCAGTGTGTCCTATGGGGGAGACCCCACCCGCTCGTCACAGGCGCCCAAAGCGCGAGCCTCGCGGAAGAAACCACTCGAGAAGTAGGCGGGCCTCTCTTGCGGCAAGCGTGCGACGGCCCCTGCTTGGGGCTGCGCGGCCCGCGGGCGTCGTCCAGACCAACGCCTCGCAAAAGAGGCGCGAGCAGCGGCTTTCTCCGTCAGAGTTCTTCGCGTCTGGGACAAAGCCTCCCATTCCCAGAACCCTTTGCGAAAGGACTGGGCCGACAAACTGACGTGGATTCCGTGGACTCGTGTCGTCTCGTCTCCGCGCCCTCAACGTCATTGGCTTCCTCGTCCCTGGCCTCATCCACCTCGTCCCTGTCTCCGTCCCCATAATCGTCGTCGTCGTCGTCGTCGTCGTCGTCGTCGTCGTCGTCGTCGTCGTCGTCCCCCCCTCCCCCCCCGTCTCACACCCATTCTCTTCCAGCCCCTCTCTCTCCTCGCCCCTCCCGTCCCCTCCCTCTTCCCCCTCCCGCTTCCCCCCTCCCCTCTTCCCCCCTTCCCTCTATCCCCCCTCGCCCCGCCCTCATCCTGCTCCCCACCACCACCACCACCACCACCACCACCACCACCACCACCACCACCACCACCACCACCCCACCCACCTCCCCTCCTCCTCCTCCTCCTCCACCTCCTCTCCTCCTCCTCCTCCTCCTCCTCCTCTCCCCGTCCTCCTCCTCTCCTCCTCCTCCTCCTCCTCCTCCTCCTCCTCCTCCTCCTCCTCCTCCTATGGGACCGATAGTCAGGGGGAAAACGTCGACTTGCAGTCGGCAGCGCATCTTCGCTAGATCGGCGATCGGCCCCCGACAATTACCGAAACCGCACGCTCCTGGGCGGGGTGGGCTACCAGGCCCCCTGTCGGCCCGAGTGGGCGATTGGGGGTCGACGCATCCTCCCCTGAACCTATCCCCCCCCCATCCGTTGCCAATGATGCCTGCCCCTCGGCCCTCCTCTCCCATCCCCGCCATCCACTCTTCCTCCCCCCTCGTCGCCCTTACCCTTGCCACCCTCCCCCCATCTCCCATGTCTCCAACCGTTAGACCAACATGAGCTGAAACAAACTGTTGCTCTAGTAAGGAAAAGGGTGAACATGTTCAGATCCAAACCGGCTTGACGTGGAGGCACAGGCAAGCCCCCTGGCAGGCGCGGCAGCCGAGGAGAGGCCTAAAGTGCGACAGGGAAGAGTCAGCAGCGCCTGCCAGGTGGTAGATCTGGGCTATCCTGGCCTTGGTCTCCAACCCCTCCTTCTCCTCCTCCTCCTTTTCTTTCTCCTCCCCCTCCTCTTGCTCCTCCTCCCAATCCTCCTCCCCCTCCTCCTCCTCCTCCTTCTCCTCCCCCTCCTCCTCCTCCTCCTCCCCCTCCTCCTCCTCGCCGTTCTTTTCTCTGGGCCCCGGCGCTCGCCCTGCCCCACCCGCCGGGGACCCCCCCACTCATAAAAGCGGTCTGGTGACCACACCTGCGTGGTGCGCGGGTGGGGCTTCGGGGCGACCGCGCGGCTTTGGCTTCGTGGAAGGGGCCCTGGGACACACAAATTCGCCGGCCCAACGGGCCAGGGCGTGCTAAGATCTCCGGTAACTGATTAACAGTATTAACAGTATTTCTAGTTCGCGCGCGCGGGGCGGCCCCTGGGGGTCCCCCGGCGAAAAGTACCCCGACCAACGCCCGACCGCCGCCCGACCAAGTCTACTCAGAGATGGTTTTCCTTCTGGGTGCGGCCTCTCAGGCTCCCCAGAGCGCGCTCAGAGTGCCCCAAGAGGCCCCCAAGACTGCCCAAGAGGCCCCCGAGACGCCCAAAGAGCGCTCGAAGACGCCGAAGATGACCCCAAGACGGCCCAAAAGGCCCCCAAGACAGCCCAAGAGGCCTCCAAGACGCCCCAAGAGCCTTCCAAGAGGCCTCCGAAGAGAGCCCCAAGAGGCCAAAATCGTTGATTTTCATTGGTTTTTTCGATGTTTTTTGTGTTCTGGCTTTTTCGGCTTCCGGACGCTCCAAGACGGCCCAAGAGGCCCCCAAGACCGCTCCAAGACGGCCCACGAAGCTCCCAAGACGGCGCCGAAACGACCCAAGAGAGCCCTCAAGACGGCCCAAGTGCCGCCCAAGACGGACCAAGAGGCCCCAAGACGGGCCCAAGAGGGACTCAGGAGGGATACCGAGAACTCAAAAATGGAGCCCTCCGTCCCAGAAGGCGCCCAGGAGGTCCCAAAGAGGCCCCAAGAGGCCTCCAAGAGGCCCCAAGATGTCGCCAAGAGGCCCCAGGAGACTCCCAGGAGGCCCAAAAGAAGCCCCAGAAGGCTTCAAACATGTCTCCCAGGCGCCCCCGAACGGCCTCTCAACAGACCCCAAGAGGCCCCCCAAAGAAGCATCTTGACGACGACCCTATTTCGCCCCATCGAGAGACGACCCCCAGGGAACTGCTTCACCATCAAAACTCCCCACACAACGCGTCCGAACGACACCCGCCCCCAAGAGCGCAACATGGGCAACTAACACACAGACAAAAACCAGCGATGCCATATCACGGGCCGGCGGAATGAGCGAATCGATTCAATAAAGGGACACAAACAGCAGGATTCCCCATATCTTCCCATATGTTCTAGGGTGGTTGTCCTCCCCCCCTCCCCATAGCTTCCAATATGTTTTGGGACATCGACGATTCATTGGAGGAGGAGGAGGAGGAGGAGGAGGAGGAGGAGGAGGAGGAGGAGGGGGGAGGGAGGAGGAGGGGTGGAGGGAGGAGGAGGAGGGGTGGAGGGAGGGAGGAGAAGGAGGAGGAGGAGGAGGAGGAGGAGGAGGACTACGCGAAAGCGCTACTCGCAAATGGCCTGGATCCTCCGCGGAGGATCTACGACAAACTGCACCAGAGCGGGCACGTGCTTTTCGGACGTCTGCGAGCAGGCACTCTGCGAGTAGTGGAGCGCGCTCGGTGACTGGTGCAACTTGTCGGCCCCAGTTCCTTTTGTTGACGGCCCTCTGGGGCCCGAAAGCGGCCCCGAGAAGCAAGGAAAGGTAGGAAGACCTCCTCGAACCCAGAACCTCGAACCGCTCCGCCCCCCCCCGCCGAGGCTGGCTGGGACCAATCTGTGGGCCACGACCCCCAGTCGCCTCCAGAGGCTCAGGGCCCCCGGGAACCATCGGGGGCGTCCAGGATTAGGTCGGGCGTGTCCTCCTACAGGCGGACTTGGAAGAACAACAAAACAAAACACATATTCAACAACATACTAAAACAAATCGAATATGAAAAAACGTCCGAATACTATTGTTTTACTATGTTTGAACATTCCTCCTGTAGAGGGACGTGCCCGACTTAAGTCCAAGAGGGGGGGTCGCAAATCACGGCCGGGTGGGGACCCGGAGACGCAAGGAGAAAGGAAGAGAGGCCACGAAGCCCGTGGAGACATTATGGCCCCTGCCGTGATGCCCCTCCCTACTCATTGGGGATGCACGAAGGTACCGATACCACTACAGTTAGGTCGGGCATGTCCTCCTACCGGGGAACTTTGAAGACAAACTAATAGCCAAGAAATGCCCCAAACTAGTCAAACTTTTTGGCACATCGTCACTCGACTACTACCATCTTTGAATGTTTTTCCTGTAGGGGGGCGTGCCCGACTGAACGCCACAGGCAACCCGCAAGGGCCTTGGAAGGCCATGCCGATACTCTGCGAGCGGGGCGCGGTCAACGAAAGTGGCCAAGGATGGACCGAGGAGGCAAGGATGCAAAAGGGTACCCTTGGGAAGGTAGCCCCTCCCTACTATGCGAGTTGGCTGTACTCCACGGGCCTCTCCCAGGGTGCGTTCTGATCAGCATCTCGAGGCGCATCGAGCTGTGGCGGCCAGGGCCTCCCAGGAGGCCCAACCAAAGGGAACACGACGGGACGGTAGAGGTATGGGCATCTGTTCCTCCTCGGAATGTTCACACCCCTCCTGGACGCTCCCGGGTACATCAACATAGGGGGGAAGCGGGCGCCGAGGGAAAAGGGGTCCTGGATCCTGGTGCCTCCCCCCGCAAGACGAGCTCTTCCTCCCGAGCCGTCTTCTGGCAGTCCAGGGGGCCCCTACCCCGGGACTTCCAAAACGGCGAGGGTCCGCGGAAGGGAGGGAGGAGAAGGAGGGAGGAGGAGGGAGGAGGGAGGAGGGAGGCCGGAGGAGAGGGGAGGAGGAGGAAGAGGGAGGAGGGAGGAGGGGAGGAGCAGGGACGCTTCCCCCATGTCGAAGCCAACGGGACCAGGGCGGCCGCCGGGCCACGAGCGGGGGCGAGCCGAGGCAAGGGCCGGCGGCGGCGGCGGCGGCGGAGGCGGGTCGTGCAGTGGGCGCGCGGCGGGGGGGGGGGAGCCTGCTCCGCGAGCCGGGTGCCTGGTGGGGGAGGGGGGGGGGAGGGCGGGGAGGGCGAGGAGGGAGGGCAGGGCGAGGTCTGGGGAGGAGGGGCGCGGAGGGGGAGGGCGGAGGAGGCGAGGGAGGGCGGAGGCAGATGAAAGAGGAGGGCGGAGGAGGAGGAGGCGGAGGAGGAGCAGGAGGATCAGGCGGAGGAGCAGGAGGAGGAGGAGGGGGAGGCGGAGGAGGAGGAGGAGAAGAAGGCGAGAGCAACATCCGCTGGATCTGTCTGTCATCAATCCACGGGAGAAGGAGGAAGAGGAGGAGGAGGAGGATGAAGAGGAGGGGGAAAGGGTCGGAGGAGGAAGGAGGAAGGGAGACAGAGTAGGAGGAGGCAGTCGCTGAAAAGCAAGGGAGGATTATAACGATGACGATGACGATGCTGATGACGATGGTGATGATGGTGATGATGATGCTGATGATGATGATGTAGAAAGATATGACAATGATGATGTTGTTGATGATGATGATGCTGATGATGCTAATAACGATCATGAAGTTGCTGATGATGCTTCTGATGATGACCAGGCTGATGATGATGCAGGTGATGATGCTGAGTACGCTTATGCTGCTGTTACTGATGATGATGATGTGGATGATGGGGCTGAGGATGACGATGCTGATTACGATGAGGATGATAATGATGATACTGATGCTGCTGATGATGATGACGACGATGCTGATGATGATGAATGGAGGTTGGGGAGAAACAGGAGGACAATGCGTAAGAGGAATAGGTGGAGGGATTAATCATGACGGACAATAACAACCACGATGCACGAGGATGGCGAGGGGGACAATCAAGGACGGGACCGAATACGATTGGGGGAAATATGATGAGGGGAAGGGTGACGACGAGCAAAGATTAATTACAAGACATGTGGAAAATACGGATGAAGAGGACGAACAGAAGAAACAGGAGAATGAGCAGGAGGAGGCGCAAGAGCGATGTTCGGTACCGTCTTGCTTCTCCATGCTACAGGCTGTGGGATTCATGGTCAGACCGATTCCACCACCACCTGCACCTCACGGCAAGACTTCTGGTCGGGTGCCCTCCATCTCCATCTCCGTTGTCATCCCCTTCTCTTCGTCATCATCACCACCATTCTAATGATCCCTTTCTTATCCCTCCATCCGCATACCCCTCCAAATCTGTCTCCCCTGCTCATTCAGCTCCTGCTGCAGTTGCGCCCTAAGTCAAGGAGGTGAATGGTTTGGATGAGATGTTGAAGGTGCACTTATCTTCCTTACTCCTCCGTCTCCCTCATTCCTCCTCCTAGCTTTTCTCGCGTTTCGACCAGGATGGAATGAATCACGCAGGCGGCAGCGTTAATTCAATTGAATTACAAGCGGGGACGGGCCTGCTTGTCGAAAAAGGGGCGTGCCTTGGCACCTTCAACGTCTTGCCTGGTACCTCCTCCCTCATTCCTCCTCCTCCTCCTCCTCCTCCTCCTCCTGGCGGCCATTCCAGGGGGGAAGTGAGACGGGGCGTGCCTTCTCAAAAGGCTTGGAAGTGCCCCCGTCTTCTGAGAAGTTGTCTGAGCCCTCCGCGAAGGCACAGAACACTTCAGAAGGCGCGAGGCCTCCTGAGAAGCCCCGCCGCCTTCCGAGAAGGCCTCTTCCTTCTGACTTCCCCACCCCTCGCTCGCCGCCGATCCTCCTCCTCCTCCTCCTCCTCCTCCTCCTTCTCCCTCCCTCCTAGATTGTCTTCCACCCTCTCACGCTCCGCTGCGTGCACCGCTCCCGTCTCTCCCGAGGCTCCCTGGGCGGCCCCCCAACGCCTCCCAGGGGCTCTCTCCAAAGCTCCCCAAGACGGCCCAGCACGGCCACCAAAAGGCCGCCACGATGGCCAAGAGCCGCCCAACAGTCCCCAGGCACGCCCCAAGAAGCTTCCTAAAGACACCAAAGAGAGGGCTCCTCCTCCTCCTCCTCCTCCTCCTCCTCCTCCTCCTCCTCCTCCTCCTCCTCCTCCTCGGGGACGGGACTCGAACGACGACCGACACCCACGAGACCGACAACCGACGACACGACGACGACGCCGGCCAGCGACGACTGGACGACGCACGGCCCGCGACGACGCCAGGCGGCGGCGAAGACGACGACGACGAGAACGACGTCGACGACGACGCAGCGACGGATGGCCGACCGACCGACGGCGCCGGGCGCCTCGCCAGCGCCCTGCGCGCCGCCGCGCGCCGCGCGCTGCGCGCGGAGCTGTGCGAGGGCTCCTGCGGGCGGTCGTCGGCCGCCGCCCACAGCCTCGCCCTCGCCGACGGGCGGCCTCGCAATCGTCGCCGCTGCCGTCGCGTCCTCGCCGCCGGTCGGTCGGCCCTCCGTCGGTCCGTCGGTCGGTCGCAAGTTGGTCGTCGTCGTCGCCGCCGTCGGCGCGGGCGACATCGCCGTCGCCGCCGTCGCCGTCGTCGCCGCTGGCGTCGGCGTCGTCTGTTGGTCGTCGTCGATGCTGTCGTCGCCGGCGCTGTCCTTCTCGCCTACGTCGGGAGGCACGGGGGGGCCTTTGTTGTGGACCCCCATGGTCTTCCGGATGCTCTTTGAAAACTGAAGCCTCCGGAGGTGCTTGATTACGCGGTGCGTACGCTCTTCGTAAGGATCCAACGACGGGGGCTGAGGAATACGAGGGGGATTGGAGGAGGGCGAAAATTGAATGGAGAGACAGAAAAACAGATGAGGGGGAGGGGCGATAGGCCCATCATGAGAGGGGGATGGTGAACTGGGAAAGTGAAGGCGGCAGCGGGGGAGGGCGATGCGCGAGGGAGCGGCGGCTCATTGCAGACATGTCTAAGCAGCTGTGGTCTGTGAGAGTGCGTGTAGCAAGCTGGCGATATGCGGGTCGTGTGGGGAAGCTTCAGGGCCCGCACCAAAACGCACATCATTTGTGTGCAGCATCGACTGCAACTTCTAATGCGCGCGCAATCGGTGAGCAGCGGGGGGCAAGTAGTTGGAAGCACGATTAAATACAGCCAGCCCGCGCAATAATGGTTTTTAGAGGGGAGCTGTTCTCTCTACTAAGCTCGCTGGTCAAGGCGACTCGGATCCGAGGCCGAAGAGGCGGACGTCCTGACCGCCTCTCGCTGAAAACCACATCCAGGCGAATAAGAGATAAAGGGAGGGCGAGCCGAGGCGGCTCGAAAGGGAGGGGAGCCTGGATGACTCCGGAGCAACAACAATGTGGATCGATGAGACCGACAACCCAAACCCTGCTAAGTCAATACTGCGCACGCGCCCCCATGACTTACCCTTGGTTTTTAGCGCCGAACTGTTCTCTGTACTGAGCTCGCTGGTCAAAGCGGCTCGGATCCGAGGCCGCCTCTCACTGAAAACCACGCCCAAGGCAGGTTCCCAAAGAAGAAATTGTTCACACCGAAAAGCATCGAGCCCGAAGCGGGCTTAAAACTGTGAGTGCTACGGCCCCCTGGAAACTATGGAGCACCAGTTCACAAGGGCGCGGGCGGGAGATATGCTTTCTATGGCCGTCTCTGGATCTAGTGTCAGGGCACCAGAGCCCGAGGCGGTTGGTGTCACCAGACAATGCATTGCAGACCAGAGAACTGGCGCTGAGTCTAGATGCGTCACGGTATCTACACATGTGCGTAACGTGCTGCGTACAATGCTTAGTAGGACATCGCGCTGTCACACGTGCGCTGTCGGAACTAAAAAAAGCTGCTCACTGATGGTAGCCCTAATCTGGCCGCCTCCGACATCGCGCGCACTAGACCTGTGGACGGAACGCCGCTGCCGACTGAAATCGCGACAGCTCCTATCTTTCCGAGCCTCATATCCAAGCGAAGCCTGAAAAAAAACGCACATCTGATACATGATTCGAGATGGCATGCTGAAGCGGCATCCTACCAAGAGCACAAACAGCCGTCGTTCATTCATTGCCAGTGCAAAGCGGGCTTTGGCAACACACGTTCGCGCGCCAAAATCTCCGCGAATTTCTCCTCGCACTCTTCCGCGTGTGAGCGGGGCCGCGGCGGGTGCGCCATCCATGTTGCGCTGAGACGAGCTGCTTTCTCGTGCCGAGCGACGGAACGGTCGGGCTTCCAGCCACCTCGCTTTTTGACATCCGCGAGCGTTCGCTTGCGGGGGGCCATATCCGAGTAACCGCCGCTGCGCCTGGTCGAAACCCAAGCCCAGCGAGACCTTCTGCGCTGTGGCCGCAAGCTGAGGACAGCTGAAAGCCCAAGCCCTCTGCCCAGGGGGCCTTGACTTGAGGACCTCCAGCGTCGGGGCAAGGTCGCCCAACCAGTCGTGGTCCAGCTCGATAGTCACGTCGAACTCCTTGGCCTTCGAGGGGGCGCCCTCGATCCCGGGGTTGAGCTGGGCGGCCCCGCGGGTCGCAACCCGACCAGGGGCGTGCAGATTCTCGGGATCGAGAGCCGCCACCTGGATCGGCCTCGCGTAAGCGCTTCACATCAGGCAGATAATCAGGGCCAAGTCGAAACGGCGCAGGCTGCGCAACCCGTTCACCACTGCGCACCAGATGGGCCACGCCGACGCCTCTGCCATCCGCGATGTTGAAGGATTCAGTTTCCGACGCCCTTTGGGCGCCCTCCAGCTGCGTCGTAGCGAGTGGGGGCCCTGCTTCCCTGCCTTCGGTTGTGCGTGCACCACGACTGCCAACAACCTCATGCCTCGCGCAGCCGTGGCCCCTTGCTAGACCTGTCGGTCGGTGAGCATGCCTCGCGCAGCCGTGGCCCCTTGCTAGACCTGTGGCCCCTTGCTAGACCTGAGGTCGTCCAAGGCTGCCGGCGGCATGTCGGTCACTCGACTCACGCTCGCGAAGGCGCTGAACTGGTGCACCTCTCGGGCGCGCAGGGCTTCGGTGCGCGGCCTCGCCGCGGCGTGCTCGCCCAAAATCAGGCGGGATAGCTCTGGGACCACGGGTGGCTCTAGCAGCTTCGCGAGGGTGGCCTTCTTGGCCCGACGGGGCGCGCGACCCTGGGCAGGGGCCGCGAGGTGGTCCAGCGGCCTATCCTCCTCGCCCGCGGAGCTCGAGGCCACTGCGAACCTCGGGTCGGAGCTGATCAGGGCCCGCAGCTGCTCCAGCAAGTGGCGCACCTCGGTCTCCGAGAGGTCTGGCCGGCTGGCGTTGCGAGCCGAGGCCTTGGCGCCGGGCGCTTCGCTGCCCTCCAGCTATCGGGCAGTGCGCTGCCGTGACGCGGCCGGGCACTGCGAGCTGTGGAGGCGCCGCTTCCGACTGGGGCCACCAGCCAGCGCCGCTTCGGGCTGAGACGAAGCTAACATCTGAACTCTGACACCTGATGTAGGAGGGGTTCGGTTGCATGGAAAAGAGGCTTGAACCGAAGCGTCTACGGGGGCAGGGCGAGGCGCAGCTGATCTTGTCTCGTCTTTTTCACTTGAGGAACCACGAGGACCACTGGCCTGGCTCGGCTCAGACCGGCGGAACTCGGTGGCGCACGGGGGCCTACAAGAGCTTTTCCAAACCGCATGCGTTGTAGGTCCCGTTGGTGCCTGGGTTCCTCCGCCCATCCAAAGGCCTGGTCTGCGTCGCGGGGGGCGCGCTCGCAGGGGCGGGGGCAGCCGACATCGCCCTTCCTTCTCTCGGCTGTGCTCGACTTTGGCTGAAACAAACGGGAGGGGGCATCAGCGGGGGTCTTTGCTGGCGGCGTCCATCGAACAGACAGGTGGATGTTGCGGCTGAGACGCTGCGCGGCCATCCTGCGCAAAATGACGGAAATTTTACAGCTCCGACAACGCCACCTGCCCGCGGCGAGCACGATTCCCGAATTATCTGCACAAGGAAGCTGGCGAATGCTACGACCGCGCCCGGTGCGGCCCACTCTCTCCTGTCCCCGCGGCGTGCCGCGGACCTCCAGAAACATATTGTCATCTGACGGGCGAAACCTCCGGCCTCCGACGACCGTCCACACGGACTGCTCCGTCAAGAAGGTGGGCACCTCGGCGAAGCTAGGGTCAGCGAGCAGCCCTTCGCGGCCCAGGCATCCCTCGACGCCCAGCGGCTCCGCGGGAGGCAGACCGTCCCCGAGAGCTGCCGCGCGGGCCCCCGCGCGGTCGTCGGCGAGGTAGCGGTCGCGCTCGCGGCAGCGCCTGGCCGCCGCGACGTCGCGGGCGTCTCCGAGGCGTCAGTGGCCACTGCCAGCGGGCCCCAGTCAGACCCCCAACTAGAGCAGCAAAGGCTCTCAGCACGGCGGCTGCCGACGGCCAGATGGCGACAGGCTGGTCGCAGTGCTTCCTGATGAACGGGTAGACCGTCGCAAATGCCGGCAGCGTCTCGCGCCCCGCCAACCAGCAGAAGGCGGCGTGGCCCAGGGTGACTTCCACTTGCCGTCCAGAGGCGCGCGCCCAGCAAGGGCCGGCAGAGCGCCTCGCGCGCGCCAGAATCGCTTCGTCGTCAGCCGCGCGCGCCCGCGGGGACCGTCCAGCAGCGCGCCGAGCGCCTCGACGCCCGAGTCGGAGGTGGCGACCTCGCGCACGGCGAGGCCCCTCGCCTCGAAGGCCTCGCAGACGTCCTCCAACTTGGCCGCCGCGACATTGCCGTCCGATCAGAAGACCCATGTTGTCCGCGTAGATGTAGCGCCTGGTTTTCGCGGCGTCATCACCGCGCAGAGTGAGGAGCAAAGGCTGCCCCTCTGTCACGGAGCAGCTCGCCGCGCCCCGGGATCTGGCCGGCGACCTCCTCGTCGATGTCCTGCGCCAAGAATAAACTCAAGGAGAAGCCCGTGGGCAGGCGCCGAGGCATCGGGACCGCCATCTCGTCTGGCCCGACGGCGCCGTCGGGGGTCTCCTGGGGCCCGACGTCGGCGGCTCGGGCGGGCCGCGGCCCGAACCAGGAGTGCCTGGATGCCCATCCTGTGTAATGCGTCCTGCGCATCCGCCGTGCCGCCGTAGAAGGGGAGGTAGCCCTGTCCGTCGGGAAGCCCCACCTCGACGCGCCCGAGGCACTCGGCTGTCAGGAGGCCGACCCGAGGCGGAGGCGCGAACCGCCTGTTGGCGCGCCTCGCGTCGAGAATGAGGCGGAGCCCCCGCTCCTCTTGCGAACGACCAAGAGAACTGTTCGCTCGTGAGCCCAGGCGTCGAAGACCAGCAGGTTCCGAGCCTTCAGGTCGTGGGCAAGCCAGGCGTGGAGCGTTGGGCTGCTGGCGAGCTGGGGTCAATGTAGCATCTCTCAGCACCGCCATCAAAACTGCCGCTGGCAGCGGGATCCAGCATGCGCTCTCCTGCGCCCTCCAGATATCGTCGGCCACAGTCCCCGACAAGCTCCGAGACGCCGGGGACGCTGGTCTTCTTCTCGGGCAAGGGGGCCCGACCGCGCCGGCACGGCGCTAGCGTCGTCGAACAAGCGCCCATCCTGTAGCCAGACGCATTAAGTCACAGAGCAACTCCCGGAGGGCCGCTTCTGGCGGCCTGTGGGTGTCCCGAGCGCCCTCCCGCGCCTGGAGCTCCGCCAACGCCTCCAAGTGAGCCGGGTTCGCTTGGGCGCCGCCCCCCGGAAAGGGCGCGTCGCCGTCGTAGCCAGCGGGGCCAGGTCGCCCTCGGACGCCAGACGGTGGGCGGGCGTCGGTCTTCGCGAGCCACCTGAGCGCATTGCAACCAGCCTTGACTAACTGTCGAACATGACCACGAGCGCGATTGCGCCCGAGACGTCTACCACCAGCAGCAGGAACAGGTTCTCGCCGAGGAAGAGCCAGCGGGAACTGCCTGAAGAGGCGAGGGCGCATCAGCGCCCGAAAATCCCCGACCTTCAGCGGGCCGCGGCGTGGGGGGCCTGTCCACGACCCGTCATTCGAGGCAACCATCCTTCGGGGCAGCGGGGCCCTGACCGCCCCGCCCGCCCCGTCCTGCGTCGCGGCGCCCACGGCCTCGGCCCCCGTCGGCGGCGCCATGGCCCCAGCGCCAGCGCCCTCCGCCGCAGGCCGCCGCCGGCGCGTCCGAGTGCTATCGATCTCGTTCTGATCCTTCAACTTGCTGGTGCCCCACTTGCGCAGAGCTGGCGCGACGGCATCCCCGCAGTTGGTCTCGCGGCCATACGCGGCAGCCACGCGCCACGAAGGAATCCCGCTGCCCGCGGAGTAGGCGTCGATCACGCCCAGGATCCGCCGAGCCATCTTCTCGATGCCCGCCGACGCGCCCAAGTTGAGCTGGTCGCACTCGCCGAACAGCTTGAAACTCTCCGTCAAGGTGGTCATCTCGCGGTAGACCCGATCCGTCTTCGAGATGTCCCTGCCGCGGGCGATCTCCTGCCACCACCGTCGCGGTGGCGGCAGGAGATCGCCCGCGGCCGGGCGCTCCGTGTGCCGCGCGAGGTGGAGGGAGGCCTCCAGGAGGCCCCTGGACCTCCACCGCGGTGATGGGCCCCCCCCCTGCTTTCCTGGGCGGCTTCTTCCAGCCCTTGAACCTCTCACCCGCCTCATCGTAGTCGACCCAGAGGGTGCGCGCGTCGTCGGCCAGGGCGGGCATCTCGTCAGCGGCCCGAGCGCGAAGCGCCGAAGGGCCTTCCGCCGAAGCCGCGCCACCGCATCGTGCACGGGGCCCTTTTTACGGATTTCGCGCACTCGCTGCTGGCCACCGCCAGGACGCGCAAGAAGGTGCCGTGCCTGTGGACGAGCCCGTCCGTCGACGTCACGATGACGTCCCTAGCGCGCGGCGTCACCTCCATGCCCATGGTCTCGTGGCCCTCGGCATTCTCGGTGATGAGCCACGCTAGGCCGTCGCGAGGAGCGGGGCGCTCGGGCAGCGCAGCCCGAAAAGGCGCCACCGCATCGCGGGTCTTTGGGGGCCCCTCGCCCTCCGCCGCGGGAGCCTCTGACGGGGGCGGCAGCGGGGGCGTGGCGGCCCCGTTAACCGCCGCAGCAAGTCCAGCGCCTCCCCGTCGGAGCCGCCGCCCCACGCCAGGCAGCGGAGCAAGCTCGCCCTCCACGGTCACGTAGTGCGTGAGAGCGGGCGGCTCCTGTCCCGCTGACCGCATCCGAGCCACAACCTGCTGGGCCTCGTGCCGGACACGGTCGTCGGCAGGATAGGCCCCATCCGCGAACCTGTAGAACTTCTCTGGCAGGGCGCGAAGGCAAGTTCCCGCCGGATCGAGTAGCATCAGCCGCTCGCCCACGCCCGCCTCCATCGATATATCCTCCTCGTGGAAATCCTCGTCGGGAGTGAAGACCCACCAACTAGTGACGAGGCCCTCAACGTTGCGAAGCTCCGGGCCCATAGCGACCCTTTCGTGTTACAAATCCTCTGCGGCGTACTTGATAGCCGTTAGCCGACCTGGCCGCAGACTGCTCGACAACTCCTGCACCGAAAAGGGCCTTCCTGTGTCCGCGAGGCGGAGCGGACGACGAGCCGCAACGAATGCCATCGCGACGGGAGCAAGACCAACGCCCGAAGAGGAACAGCACGAATATGAAATTTTGGCCCGTACACAGCGCCAGCGCGGTGGCTGCGATCAGCTTTGTGTCGTGTTCGACAGTCCTGCACTCGCACGCCTCCGCCTTGAGACGTCGAACCACCTCCTCCAACACGTCGGGCTGGACGATTGCCTCGGCAGGAGCCGCAGTCCGAACGGGGAATCGCAGGGCCCGCGGTCCACTGCCGCTCGGCCGCGTCGCGAAGGATGATGGTCAGAGTGGCCAAAGAGGACCCTGAACACCGACTGCATGCGGTGCCAGAAGCTCGAGAGCCTGGACGACTGCGGAGCAACAACAATGTGGATCGATGTGCTAAGTCATTACTGTGCACGCACCCCCAGGACGAGCGGCAAGGATGCCAGGGCCTTGGAAGGCCATGGCGACACTTTGCGAGAGGGGCGCGGCCAGCGAAAGCGGCCAATGATGGGCAGAAGGGGAGGGATGCAACAATAACCTTGAACGTATCTCAAGCTTACTATACGGGTTGGCCGTACCTGTTCAAGTACTGCGTTTGCTGCACATGCATGGTGTCAGCGCGTGTTTGCTTGTGTGTGTGAGCGTGCGCGGAATCATATTTAATGAACGGCTCCAACATTTGTAATGTGCACACATATGACATACGGCATGCGTAATAGCATGACTGACCCAAATTCTGCCACCGTTTCTCGTAAACCAAACATGTTCAAACGTGCTGCCCCTCGTAACATCCAAGCCAAGCGTACCAACATGCTGCAAGCACGTAGTTACGCGGGCGTGTGTGTGTGCCAATCCAAAGCGTGCGACCGAGACGCAGAATTTCTGCATTTCTGTCAGGTGGGCGGTACATTAGCATTCGTGCCTGCCCGATTGCGTGATATCGGCCGCCAGACACGCGACCGTCACTCCGAAGGCTAGGGGGTAGTAGTAGGTAGCATTCAATTCGGCGCATCGCTTGGGTGTTACGGGGCGCGTATGACTTTATGTGCGCGAAGTCGGCGGTTGGTCTGTGCGTATTCTAGACAGGTGGCGTTCGCCGAAGGTCGGTAAGACCTGGTCCTGCTCCGGCTGTTCCTACTCCCCCCTCCTCTTCCCACTTCCACTGTCCCTAGAACAACAAACACGACACAACAATAATTTAGCGGAGGTCCTCGCGGACCTCCGACAATTTGTGTATTCCGTTGTTCCTTTTCCGGGATCCTCCTGATTTCCGACCCTCCCACCACTCCAGCAGTGCATGTTGTGGCGTGAAGGCCGACGGCACTGTGCAACGTGCCAGAGGCGCAACGTCTGGTAATATAGCCTGGCGTTAGCCGCGCGATCGTTCCGAGACAGGGTGGTGTCCTTTTCCCGCCTCCTCTTCCTTCCCTCCCCTCCTCTTTCTCCTTCACCCCGTAATCATCCAGAAGGCCCCCAGACGTCTGGATATCTTCCCCAGGGACGGCTCATTCCGAGTCATTTTTGACGGCCATGGGGGTCGGCAAAGGACCCGAAGGGCCCACAACAGCCACGGACCTCAAGGTTTTTGTTTCACCACGCGAAGGTCGGGGGCGGCCAAGAGGGGGGCGTCCAAGAGGGGGAGGCGCAAATCATGGCCCGCGGCATGTGCGCGGCCCAGGGAGGGGGCCAGGGACGTAATGACATAAGAAGAGGCGCCATGACATCTGAGGCAACATCATGGCCTACGCCATGCTATCCACCACCCCCTGGCCATCAACCCCCTCTTTGCCGCCCCCGAGAAGGCGTCCGGTTTTTGTCGTCCTCGCATCGCCCCTCAGGGACTTGTTTTTCATGCTGAGCCGTTTTGAACGGTCCTGGGGCCCGGCGAGGTCCCCCACAGGCCGAAAATTGCGAAAAACGTTCGCCTTGTTTTTGTTCAATACGTTGGATCTCTGGGTCTGCTGCTGCTGCTGCTGCTGCTGCTGCTGCTCCCGTGCCCTGCCGGCTGGCCGCGGCGCCCCTGGGCGGGGCGGATCCTTGCGGGGGCGCGTGCTGGAGGTCCCCGCTGCCAGACGAGCCGTGGGAGGCGGCCGACCTGGCCGACGGAGCGGGCAGCGGGAGGCCGCCGCCCCGTCCAGGGGAGCAAGCTGCCACGGTCCAGTCGGGCCAGTCCATTTTGGAGGAACAGTGAAACATAGCCCAAACATACTCCAAGAGGTCCAAACAAAAAATAAAACGAATACTCCCCATACTGTCTTTTTGACTATTTTTGAGTTTTCCTCCTGCAGAGGGGCAGGCCCGACTGAATGCTACGGCAAGTTCGCGCCGAGGCGACGTCGGCCTCAGTCTCTGACGCCGCAGGGATCGTTCAACCCTGGAAGGTAGTCCGTTCCTGCAGCCAGGGCCGCTGGCGTTATTCAGCGTTGAAAACGCTGGCTGCGGGGCCGCCGCTGGTCGACACGACGCGAACCGACCGTGCCCCTCCATTCTGGGGGGCCCGCGTCGCCACGGCTGGGCTTGCCGCGACTTCCTGGCCAGAGTGCGCCCCAGAAAAGGTCCAGAAAGTAGCGGTTCGCAACCTGGCCCCACGACAACTGTACAAGAACATGTTTGTTTGTTTGTTTGTTTTTGTTTTATTTTTAAAAACAAAAAAACATAAAGAAACAGCGCCTGGAACAAGAACACCTGCATAAGCATGAACTCTGGGAATTCCGCGCAAATGTCCTGGGTAGGCGCCTCCGGCGCCTCCCCTGGCGCGCTGCGGGGTCCAATGCTGATCTGGAAACCCGCACGGAACTACGAACCTGTATGTTTGTGGAATTGCTTGTTCTTCGAATCTCTCGGACTCTCCGTGCTGGACCCTCCGTGCAGCTGAATATGCATGTCATAATTCGGGACATGTGCAGAGGCATCGTCGCATGCGCGTGCGTACAGCTACATAAATACTTCTTTGTGCACGTGCATGCGAGTCGCCACCTCTCAATGCAGATCCCCTGGCCCGCTGTCTCAATGGTGGGTTGCATCTATCATGTTTGTTTCGTTTGTTTTTTTGTTTTCTCTCTCTCTCTCTCTCTCTCTCTTTTTTTCTAACGTTTATCCATAAATGCCTCACTGAAACGGGCCCAACACAAACAAACGGATAGATGAAACGTTGTCGGGTCGATTTCGGCCAGGTCCAGTCAGGTAAAGCCTTGCACCAGACGGTGCGTGAGAAAAGGAAACATGGAAACCACTCGGGCGCCTTTAGCATACAATTCCCACGCGCGTGCTGCACCGCGCTCTGGGCGTAAGTAGTCGGCGAAGCGCAGGCGCGCGAGCCAGTAACTCCCGAGCAGTTGCGCACCACGCGATGCCCCCCCCCCCAACGTCTGTCGAGGTCGGCCTCGCCTCTGCGGGCGGGTCGGGCGGCGCAGCGGTATGGCACCTGGTCGAAATACCGAACGCCGCATTGGGTCATTCGCGGGTCGCCTGGCCAACTGTACTGCCCCATGAAAACAAGGCATCCGTCATCTGGCGAGTTCTTCGCGGAGAGTCTCCCCAGAAGCGACTTCGAGCGGAGCAGCGCTGGGCACTGGACTAACGCAGGCTGGTGGTGCACGGCAAATCCTTCGCGCGCCGCGACTTTGAACGCTATCGAACCAATGCCGCTGTGCTTCGTTCAAGCACGCGGTCAACCGTGCGTAGGTCAGCCTCGAGACAACACAAGCGTTGAATATGCGAAGCTTATGCTTCCTGCTGAACCTGGAATGTGACCAAATGGAACGACACGTCTTGAAATCGCTCGCGGTTGCCCAAAAACGGCGGCCGAATTCAGCCCCGAACCTGCCATCGACAGTCATAGATGGACCAGTAAATCTACATATATACACAAGTATGTATAAGCATATGTTTATACGTAGATGGACACATGTCCATACACATATATATATATATATAACGATTGCTTGTTTTCGAACGGTACCCCCTAATTGTTCAGAATGTCAATGCCGGATTTGACGCCCATGCCCTCCCGTTTCTTCCACTGGAACTGCAATCCGTAATGTACTCCGCATTGTTGTACGCTGTGCATCAACTCCTGGATTCATGCCGGGTCACTGCCGATGGTGGGGGGCGTCAATTACCGTGAACGAGCCTCCTGGCAAATCGTCCAGCGGGGACGTCGCCGAGATTCTCGCGCAACACAATGTAAGAGTATGTCAGCAGTGTGGTCATTACGATTGTGAGTAACAAGGGCGGCAACGGGCATCCTTGGCAGATGCCATAATGCTGCCAGTGTTTCGAATATGTTTGCCGAACGTTTCCAACTACATATGAACGGTTCTCGTGCATGGACCAAGCCATGTGCGCAAGTTTGCCCAGGAGGCCGAAGCTGAGAGACGACGTGGCCAGTGCGTGTGGGAGACAAAGTCGAACGCCTTCGCCCAGTTGAGCGCGAGGAAAGTCGGTTGCCTTCCTTTTGTGGACCACGCGTCTTCCAAGATGCGGCGGTCAACGAAGACTGCGTCGGCGGTCCCGCGCTGCGCTCTGAACACCACTTGCGTTTTCCAGAGACGATATTCGGCACCCTCTTCACTGATTCTCTGCAGGAAGATGGCGGCGAAGATCGTGTACCCGAAGGGCAGTCGGCTGATGGGCCGATAACTGTCGCACGACGCTGGGTCCCCCTTCTTGTGTGTTGTCCGTGCTTCTGATGTGTGGCAATCCTGCGGAACTGTTTCTCGAGGCCACACCAGTTGCAGAAGCGAGTACATCCCCCCCATCAGAAGCATGCCATCCTCGGTTGCGGCTTCCCAGAATTCAGGCGGTACCTCGTCAAATTATGCCACCAACCCTGCTTCGCTTCAGTTTCCGGGCGGCCTGACAGCGTCAGTGATCACGCCCTGGTCAATCATGAACTCCTCGTGGATGGGCGAGGTGTCCAGCAAGGCAGCGATCGGTCGCATTGCCCATTGGATGTTCCCAAGTGTTCAGTCAATGTGTTGGCGTGCTGGTCGCTGTCGTCTGCTTGCTTGCTGGCGTCGCAAAACCTTCCTTGTTGCCACGGCACACCTTTCCGAAGCTTCCGAATCTGCCCCCAATCGCTGGTCGCCGTGAGCGCGTCTCAAGCCGCGCCGCTCTGCCTTTTGCATCTGATGGTCGTCGCGGAGGCCTCTGGGCCGTGGGCACCGCATTGTCTCATGCTTGGTGGGGAGCATCAACCAGCCAGCATCTCGCCAGGTCGCTGTCTGGCGCAACTTCTCCAGAACTCTCTAACGCCAGCCACTTGGCCACCGAGAACTAACGCAACGGCCAAATGACAACTTCCTGGCTCCTGGGTTGCCGGTATCCGGGCCAATTTTGGAGGGCGGCTAAAGTCCGGGCTTCTTCGGCTCATGGGCAGGAGGTCCCGGACCAATCAGTGGATGCGAAGGAAGGCAATGAGCTCATATCAGATAGTAGAGAGCATACTTGACCAGAGATATACACATCTCGACACCTATATATATACAGAGAGTGAGCGAGAGGAGGAGAGCGAGAGAGAGAGAGAGGAGAGAGAGAAGAGAAGAAACACACACACATATATAGAGAGAGAGACAGAGACATTGAGAGAGAGAGATAGAAAGAGAGAGAGAGAGAGAGACAAAGGGAGAAGGACATACTGGGAGAGAGAGGGAGAGCTGGAGAGATGGAACGATGGATAGAGAAATCGAGAGAGAGCGAGAGATGCACACATACATACATATATATATATGCATGAGGAAAACATCAAGCCAGTGGCGTACGATTATATACCTGAGGAACGAGATAGGGAGAACGAGAGAGAGAGAGAGACATAGAGAGAGAGAGAGGGAGAGAGGAAAGGGGAGAGTGAGAGAGAGAGAGAGAGAAACCTCTATATATATGATATATATGTATACCTTTATACGTAACCAGGGAAAACGAGAGAGAGAGAGAGAGATAGAACAAGAAAACGAGAAATAGAGAGAGAGACAAAGAGAGAGGGATCACGAGAGAGAGAGAGATAAAGAACGATAAATAGAGAGAACGAGAGAGAGAGAGAGAGAAAAAAAAAAACGGGCAGACGTGGAGTGATTGCGAATAATGGAAACCCACTGATTTGGTTAATCCCCGGTGTAATACTTGTATGTCTATATGTGTATTACTTGTATGTCTATATGTGAATATACATATATATAGTCTCTCTCTCTTGCCCTCCCTTCTCCTCTACCCCTTCCCCATCCATACCCCTCCCTCGATTCCCGCGTGCCCCCTCCGACTCCACCTGCTTCCCCCCCCCCCGCCCCTCCTCTTCTCGGAGCAGGGCGAATTGAGACAACGGCGACTCAAAATCGGTCCTGGACCATTCCTGGTGTCCAGACGCAACATATTTCCGGAACTGCGTCCAGCCGTGCCGAGCGGCCTGGCTCCCCCGAAGGCCACCTGCCGTTGCGTCAACTCGCCATCCTCTGACCCTCCCCCTCCTCCTCCTCCTCCTCCTCCTCCTCCTCCTCCTCCTCCTCCTCCTCCTCCTCCTCCTCCTCCTCCTCCTCCTCCTCCTCCTCCTCCTCCTCCTGTGTGTTTTTTGTGCTTTCTGTTCTTGTGTGTCTCTGTCGGAGCGTGGGCCCCCCGGGCGTTTAGAGCACCTCCCCCGGACCAGCTCTTCCTCCCGAGTCGTGGTTCGACAGCCCCGCGGGGCCCGCTGAGGGCCCCCATGTGGCCAACAACTGTCACAACTTCCCGTCGCGACTTTTTAACGACGCGAGGGGGTAAAGGTCCCTCTTCGTCCCTCTTCTCTCTCCACCCCGTGCTGCTGCTGTTCGTCCTCGTCCTGTTCCCTCCTGTGTTTCTTCCTGTTCATCATCCTGCTCGTCCGTCGCCTCCCCCTCCTCCTCCTCTTCCTGATCCTCCTTCTCTTCCCCCTCCTATCTATGTAGCTGCTCATGCTTCCGCTTTCGCATAACACGGAATGGGTGGGCAATGTTGGAATTCTACGTCGGTTACTACACGAGTCCGCGAATAAAAAAAACAGCGCAATGAGAATTGATAGGCGGGTGTAAGGAGATGCCAGATCTGAGGCGAGTGCACCAATAGTTTGTCCCTCTTTCAATTCTCAAGGGCGTCCAAAGAGGGGGGGGCGTCCAAGAAGGGGGTTCGCAGATCATGGCCCGAGGCACGTGCGCAGCCACAAGGGGGGAGGGTAGAGGACGCATTGGAAAAATCAGAAGAGGCACCATGGAATCTGGGGAACTGCCACAGTGCCCCTGATATCCAACCCCTGGGGTTACTAACGTTCGGGGTCCAGGGGGGCAATCAAAGCTTCCCTGGCGGATCGCAGCATCGAGGAAACTGAGGATGATGCGGACCATGGTGATGCGGATGATGAAAAGAATGATGACCACCATAGCACTGCCGCGCGTTGCCGACTCGGGAAGGGCTGGTCAATCGACCCCATAGCCCTGCCGCGCGCTTGTGATCTGGATAAATTGAAATGGTGAGAACCTCGTAGCTTTGACAGACGCTTGTGACTTGCAAAAGCTGAAATGATGAGAACCGGATTTCCATGCCACGCGCTTTTGATGATGTTGCTGACCAGCGCGAGAAGATAGCAACGTCGATTCGCAACTTTCCCCGCGATGAACCACGACCAAATCTGCACTGCCTGGCGATGATGAGGTCTCAGGGTTTGGGGTGAACTTTGTTGTCCGGGGGTGGCAGTTATCATGGCCATGGCCCAAATATTTTTCCCCTTTTTCACCCGATGCCCCCGATAATTGCAGGTTGGACGTAATGACATTCGGGTTTCAAAAAACAAGATATACGTCCCCCGGCAACTCGCATGTGCAGCTTTGCGGTATACGGAACTACAGTGTACGGAGTGAAGTTAGCTGTAGTAGTGGCAATCATGAACGCCATCGCCGTAGCAATCGTTGTAGCGATAGCAGTAATGCTAGCAGTAGTAGTAGTCGTCGTCGAAATAGTAGTCGTAGAGATAGCGGTAGTACAAGTAGTAGTAGCAATAGTCGTAGTAGTAGTAGTAGTAGTAGTAGTAGTAGTTGTTGTAGTAGTAGTAGTAATAGTAGTCGTAGTAGTAGTTGGTGTAGTGGTAGCCGTAATAGTAGTAGTAGTAGTAGTAGTAATAGTAGTAGTAGTAGTAGTAGTAGTCGTAATAGTTGTAGTTGCAGTAGTAGTAGTAGTAGTAGCAGTAGTAGCAGTAGTAGTAGTAGTAGTAGTAGTAGTAGTAGTAGTAGTAGTAGTAGTAGTAGTAGTGATAATAGTAATAGTATTATTAATGGTAACAACAGTCGTAGTCGTAGTCGTAATACTAGTAGTAGTAGTAATCGTAGTGATAGTAGTTGTCGTAGTAGTAGTACCTGTCATTGAAATAGTAGACGTGGGAGACGTAGTTGTCATACTCGTCGCAGTAATGGTAGTAGTAGTCGGCGTATTGGTAGTAATAGTAGTAGTAGTAGTAGTAGTACTACTACTACTACTACTACTACTACTAATACGTCGTAATCAGTAGGTCGGTAGGCCGGTAGATTGGTAAAAGTGTGTAGTAGTCGTACGTAGTGGTGATCATCGTCGTCATCGTAGTGGTATTTGAACTTGTACCAGTAGTAAGAAAATAATACTAGTCGTAGTCGTTGTTGTCGTCGTAGTAGTCGCACTAGTAATGCTAGTTGCGTTAATACAAATATTTGTAGTAATCGTCGTAGTAGTAGTGTTAGTAATAGGTCGTAGTAGTAGTGGGAGTGGTCGTAATAGTAGTCGTAGTAGTCGTCGCAGAAGTAGTAGTAGTAGTTGTAGTAGGAGTAGTAGTAGTAGTAATAGTGGTAGTAGTAGTACGAGTAGCAATAGTATTAGTAGTTGTAGTAGTAGTACTCGTAGTAGAGGAGTAGTAGTAGTAGTAGTATTAGTAGTAGTAGTAGTCGCAGTAGTAGTAGTAGTAGTAGTAGTAGTAGTACTAGTAGTGGTGGAACCGTGGTAGTAATAGTAGTAGTAGACGTAGTAGTAGTAGTAGTAGTAGTAGTAGTAGTAGTAGTAGTAGTGGGGATGGTAGTAACAGTCGCATTGGTAGTAGTAGTAGTAGTCGTAGTAGTAGTAGAAGTAGTAGTAGTAGTAGTAGTAGTAGTAAGGGTAGTAGTAGTAGTAGTAGTAGTAGTAGAAGTGGTAGTAGTAGTAACGGTGGTTGTAGTAGTGGTCGTAGTAGTAGTAGTAGTAGTAGTAGTGGGAATAATGGACGTAGTAGTAGTAGTAGTAGTAGTAGTAGTAGTAGTAGTAGTAGCACTGGTAGTAGTAGTGGTATAACTAGTGGTCGCCGTCGTCGTAGTTGCAGTAGTCATAGTCGTAGCGATCGTCGTAGTAGTAGTAGTAGTTGTGGTAGTAGTACCAACCATGGAAAAAGTAGCTTTGGAAAGAACACAAATAATAGAAGTAGCATCTGCAAGCCGTAGTAGTCGTAGTCGCAGAAGCACTGGCAGCAGTAGCAGTAGTAGCAGCATCAGCAATAGTAGTCGTAGACGGTAGTCGTAGTAGTAGTACTAGGATAAATAGTAGTAGTAGTCGTAGTAGTAGTAGAAGTAGAAGTAGTTATACAAGTAGTCGTAGTTGTGGTAGTCATATTAGTACTAGTAGTCGTAGTAATAGTTGTAGTAGTAATAGAAGTGTAGTGGTAGTCGTAATAGTAGGAGTGATCGAAGTCGCCGTCGTAGTAGCAATAATAAGCATACTAGTAAACATGCTTGTAGTCGTCGTAGTCGTAGCCGTAGTATCCGTAGTAGTAGTAGTATTAGTAGTAGTAATAGTAGTACTAGTCGTAGTCGTGGTAGTAGTAGTAGTAGTAGTAGTAGTAGTCGTAGTAGTAGTAGGAGTGGTAATAGTGGAAGTAGTAGTAGTAGTCGTAGTAGTACTAGTAATAGTAGTAGTAGTCGTCGTCGTAGAAGTCGAGTTGTAGGCGTAGTAGTAGTAATATTAGTAGTAGTAGTAGTAGTAGTAGTAGTAGTAGAAGTAGTAGTAGTAGTAGTAGTAGTAGTAGTGGTAGTAGTAGTAGTAGAAGTAGTAGTAGTAGTAGTAGTAGTAGTAGTAGTCGTAGTAATAGGAGTAGTAGTAGTAGTAGTAGCAGCAGTAGTAGTAGTAGTAGTAATAGTAGTAGTAGTAGTAGTAGTAATAGTACAAATAATAGTAGTAGTAGTAGTAGTAGTCGTAGTCGTAGTCGTAGTAGTAGTAGTAGTAGTAGTAATAGTAGTAGTAGTAGAAGTAGCAGCAGTAGTAGTAGTAGTAGTAATCGTAGTAGTAGTCGTAGTGGTAGTAGTAGTAGTAGTAGTAGTCGTAGTAGTAGTAGTAGTAGTAGTAGCAGTAGTAATAGTAGTAGTAGTATTAGTAGTAGTAGTAGTAGTAGTAGTAGTAGTAGTAGTAGTAGTAGTAGTAATAGTAGAGGTAGTAGTAGTAGTGGTAGTAGTGGTAGTAGTAGTAGTAGTAGTAGTACTGAGTAGTCGGTAATAATCGGTAGTAGTAGTAGTAGTACTGAGTAGTAGTACTGAGTAGTAGTACTGAGTAGTAGTAGTAGTAGTAGTAGTACTGAGTAGTAGTACTGAGTAGTAGTACTGAGTAGTCGTAGTAGTAATAATACTCATACTGGTAGTAATGGTAGTGTAGTACTAAATGGTGTTCGGATGTATGAGAGGCTACCCAACACAAGTATACTGCGCTTCGTGGTAAGACGGTTCAGTCTACGATGTGTACTTCCTGGTAATGCTGCAGATCGGACTCGCCGCTCCCCACCGCCGCACAAAACTGCGGAGGCCGGGGGCTCTCATGAGGTTCGTGGGAAGGGGGAAAAATGCTTCAGTATCGGGGGCATGCGGTTAACCGCCACCCCCCACCTTGGCCAAGTCTTGGCCGCTCCCGACCTTCCCTCGCCCCAGAGATCCGATGTCGTGATTTTTTCAACCATTCCGATACCCGATGTCCAAAAAACTCGACCCAATCCCAAAGTTCCGATGTCCGGAAATCTCGACCCAATCTCGACCCTTTCCCCAGGACCGGCTTTTCATCCTGATACGTTTTTGGACAGTCCCGAGGCCTGGTAAGGTCCCTTAGAGGACGAGAACTGCGAGAAACCTCCGTTTTGACTTTCTCAATGCGTTGGATCTCTGGGTTTGTCGTTCTCCGCCGTGCGCATCTTTCCCGCAGCGACGGGGTGAAAGGTTTCCCCGAAGGGCTTGGGCGACCCGTCCTCTTCTTCCTCCTCCTCCTCCTCCACCTCCTCCTCCCTCCTCCTCCCTCTGGGACCCTGCCGCCCCGCGGCCGCGGACCTCTCTTCCCCGGGCCCGCCGGCGCCCGACGAAGACCCCTGGGCGCCGGTGGGCGACGCCGCGCCCTGCTGCGAGCCGCGGGAGCCTGCCGCCGGGAGGGGAGGCTGGCGGCGCGCACAAGGGAGTGAGGGGGGACGAAGCAGGGTAGGGGGACGGGGGAGGAGGAGGGGGAGGAAGAGGGGGAGGAGGGGGAGGGGAGGAGGAGGGGAGGGGGGAAAATGGGGGGGGGGTGGATGGGGAGGGGAGGTGATCGAAGCGGCGGACCTCTGAGGAAACGTCCGGATGGCGCGCGCAAGGGGGTCGGGGGACGGGGGAATGCTTCTTTCGAGGGGGGGGGGGGGGGGCAAAAGTGGGGTTGGGCCAGAGGTGGGGCTGGTAAGAAAATCGTTCCGAAAGGCAACTGGAAGAAGGAAGCGCGCTGAACAGGAGCGTCCATCTGGGCCCGTTCTTCAACCCCACGTTGGGATAAACCTCCCTCTACGAATCCTGAGCAGGGACCGACCGTCCCGGCATTTCTATACGCCTGCCACGACATGTTCTTAGAACCCACACATGTTCTAAGAACAAAAGCGATGTTCTTAGAGCATCAGCCCGATGTGAAAAACAAGACAACCCCAGCCAGACACGTTCTGAAAACAGTTCGTGCCAATCACTAAAGGTTCTGAGAACGTTCTTTGGTGGGCATATAGGCGAGCCAAAACGCCTCCAACTGCTTGACTCTACGAACCCCCGATTCTTGGAAGGAGGCTGCACCTTAGAAGGCGCCGGCCCGCGCCGCCCCACATCAGCAGACAAGGCTGGCGCCTTCTAAGAGACGCGGGGGCGTCTCTAGGAGGCCCCCCCCCTCCTGCGCGGTTTCCCCCAGGGACGCAGGCAACCCGGGGAGGAGGAGGAGGAGGGGGAGGAGGAGGAGGAGGGGGAAGGAGGAGGAGGACGGGGAGGAGGAGGAGGAGGAGGAGTGCACAGCCCCAGGGGACGACCGACGACGGCGGGGCGACGGCTCCCTCCGAGGCTCAGCCTGCATCAGCAAGGCCAGCAGAGAAAAGAAGCGGGGCCCGCCTGCGCAGCTGGCGGATGCGAGCCACGCCGAAGTTGAGAAGCCGAGCCCGCTCGGCGAGCGGGCTCGTCCGAGGCCAGTGTTTTGATTCATGATATGCTGCGCAACAGATGTCAATATACAAGGCGACAGAGAGGAGCTGCAAATCACTGAGAGGTAAAAGACTGAAGACCGACGCGCGCGCACCCGCTGTGTGAGTACGGAAATCGGGGGGAAGATTAGGAAGCAGGGACAGAACATGGGGCGTGCACGCGCAAACTAGAGTGTGGAGCATACTATCGGCACTGGCTTGGTGGCAGAATCGACACGGCTCGGCGGCACCTCGAAATCGGCGGGTGGCGCACCAGGCATTACATATAGCGCGGGCGACACTGCTGGACACACAAGTGGGAGCTAAACGAGAGACACGCTTCAGAGCGACAGACAAGAGGTCAAGCTGGTCGGGAGCGGGCATCACGCCACATTTGCTCGGACGATCACGAAGGGCAGAGCGGAGGGGGAAAGGAGAAAGGGCACTCAGGGCGGACTCAGATCGATTCTGGAATCTGGAAACTCCGAAGACAGGCGTGGTCGGGATCTGTGACAGAGCGTTGTAGTTGGAGATGAGATGGAAGATGGGGGACTCCTGATACACAGTATCCCGCTGCCAACACAATATAGTTATCGTCGTCGCTCTCGATGGCTGTTTTGGCGCGGTCGAACGCCGCGGACATGACTGCGGTGCGACGCATGGCTGCACGCCCAGCTGGCGCCAGAGCTCTGGCCTGCATTGGGAAGCCCCACTCTTTGAGATTCTGGAAGATCCCCTGGGACAGGCTATTGTTCGGGGCGTTCGTCAGACTCTGCTGGGCTTTTCCAACGGTCGTGAACGCTGCTTTCGGAGGCGGGTAAAAGTGCATCACATGTGAGAGGACCGAGAAGGAGAGAAGGTTGAAGCACATGATGGACTTGCAAAGGCCGGGGCCGAGACTTTTGACATCCTGAGCCCTCGAAATGCTCTTGCTGGATGGGGCGAGCCAAGAAAGATTCCACCCGCCGTTCCCAAGGGATATCCCTAAGTACTTCCCAAGATGCTCGAAATTGAGGCTGTCTGGGCGAACTCCTATCTCGCGCATGAGCTGCTGGCATTCGGCGACGCTGAGGCTGCCGAGGGTCGCGAGAATCGTCTTAGAGAGATGTATATGCAGACCAGCAGCAGCGCCAGCGAGATGCCAGCACGGCGTCAGAGCTTTAAAGGCGCTGAAGATGTTCGCGGCAGCGACGCCGACGTCGTCTGCAAATGCGGTCAACCAGTACAAACCACTAGGGATCCTCGTAAGCATGTAGCGTAAACCCGGATCGAAGGCGATGCAAAAGAGAGCCCCAGAACGAGGGCAGCCATGTTTGACCCCGCGAGAAGCCAGGAAGGATTGCCCATGGAGCTCGCAGAAATTGATTTCGACGGCGACGCCCGCCCACAGGGCCTGAATACACCTAAGGATGTTAGACGGGAGCCCCATGCAGGTTAAGACCCATAATATCATTTCATGCAAGAGGCTGGGGAAAGCGGACCGCACGTCATAGTATAGCATGCCAGCATGCGCGTGCCCAGACTTAGCATGCCACATAACTGCCCTGCTCTCGAGGTCGAATATGTTTTCGTCCATGTATCCCCCAGGAATACACACCCGCTGGTTGGCAAGTGCAGTTTGGGAGGCAATCTGGGAAAGTGGCCTATCGATGGCAAGGGAGATGAGCTTGTTGTCAGAGTTGGGAAGGGTAATAGGTCTAGTAGTTTCAGGCTAACGTATGATCTGGGAGGAGGTGTCATCTGGGTCGCTGCCCTTGGCAAGGAAAACGGCCATGCCCCGATTAAACTGCGGCGGAAGGTAGCCCTGCTCGAGCAGGACGGAGTAAAGAGCGCACAAAGAGTCGACAACTGCTGCACCCTTTTTTGCATAGCAGGCATCGGGTATGCCGTCGGGCCCAGGACACAAATCCCCAGAACGAGAAATCAACTTCCCAAATTCCAGACGCCCCAGCTTCCAGAAGATGTTGGGGGGGTGCAGGTCCGGACAAACTCCCGCAGCTGTTGTCGGCCCTCGACAGATCCAGGAATGCCTTGATGAACCTTGCCCCAGCGGTCGGCAAGATGCATCGCTACCTGCTCTGGCTCGGTTATGGCCTTGCCAGTCGGGTCGGACACGCCAGCAAGAGAAATCCTGCGGTGCTTCCGCCCCCGCGCTGACTGATATCTGTGGATTTTTATATTGGCTTCTTGCTTGCGCTGGTCGGATATCGGCTGCTGCTCGACGCCGCTCATCTGCTTCTGGATGTGCTCATTCTTGAGATCAGTCAGATGAGAGTGAAACGCGCGCATATCTATCCAAATGCCAGACTGCGGGCAGAGAAACTTGGCGAGCAGCGGGCACGCGCGCAGGGCCTTGCCGACAAGCCACAAAAGACCTCGCAGAGTGCCACGCAGGGCTGCGAGAGACCAGGCAATCTTTTCCTCGACGGATTTGTTGGCCTGCTCGATGCTAAGCTGGAGGACGTTCTTACTCGCCTGAACAACGACATCCTTCATCTGAGTGCGGTGCGTGGCGGGGTCGATGTCGAGCGGGCCAACAGCGTCGAGCAGTTCCTGGACGCAGATCGGGAAGTGCCAGTGCTTGGGGGCCCATGCAGGAACTCTGAAGCCCATCTTGCCACCCGGGGATAATGTGAGACACGCCGGCGCGTGATCAGAGAGCTGCCCTACTTTCGAGATCGGCGCGAGGGTGAGAGACTTGGGGTGGAGCTCGAGGAGGATAGCGCTGAATATGTTTGTGTTTATTCTGTCGATACGGCTCATGCTCACGATCTTCTGAACACCATCGACCTGCTGAGTGGCCCTGTGCGTGAAAGACGTCTGTTCGACTTCGCGCAAGTCACCGAAGTGCTGGGGGCAGAACGCAGCAGCGTCATTGCTGGAATCGTTGACAACGCCACTGACGTGAAACGAGCCTTCGCCTCGACTGGGGAAATTGAAGTCCCCGAGCACAAAACTCAGCTTGGCCGGGCAGGAGAGTGCGACGGAGAACCATGAGCTGACGCTTCTGTTCGCTGAGAGGGAAAGCAGGGTCAAGATGGATGTTGGAGATCTGAAAAGTGCCTCTGAGACCAGCAAGAGTGAGAGAGTGGATGCGACCCTGGACTAATTCGGCGTATCGGCAGTACTTGAAATCGTCGCGGAGCGACGGATGCAGAAACATAATTACGCCTCCAGCAGCCCTGTCTTCGAAGAAAGACCCAATACCATATGAGTCGTACACTTCGGAGCAGACTCCCTGAAGGTCAAGAAAAAAAAGCCCCTGGCCTCGTGGATGCACACGACGTGGTATTTCTGGATGTAGGTTACTAAGCGTGACATTTTTCTTCTGACGGTATCCAGACATGTAGTGGGCCCCCCGAAGAGCGACCGATCGTTCCAGGACAGAAACTGATATGTGCCTTGACTATGTGTGGTGAGTGTGTCCAGGATCTAGGAATAGGGCGGAAAGACTCAGGCCCAGCCGAAGACGGGAACCTCATGGGCCCAGGCGGCGCGGAAGACCAGGACGAGGTGGAGGAAGAGCCCGCAGACGCGGAAGAGGAAGAGCTCGACACAAAGGTAGACATGCATGGCTGGTATGGAACCCTCATACCAGGCGCCCCTGACGAATACGTAGACCCTGATCGAAACGGCGTGGGAGACCCCTAGCTGGCACGGGCTGTCGCTATAATGGAGCCCGCCTGTTCAGGCGATATGTCGAACTTGGCGGTGCCGTCGGGGGAGTGGACGATCTCGTACTGGCCGTAGTCCCCTTCCTTGACTGTGAACAACTCATACACGGCCTCACCGACGGCGATGAGGAGGATGCCCCTGAAGCCGTTGACTCCGAGTTTGAAACGCTGCTCATTCCATGTGCCTGCTTGTCGCGGGCGGGTATCGACTGCCTGCCAAAGTTTGCCTAGAACTTGGTTCTTCTGCCTGCGTCCTTCCTGCAGCGGAGGGGGATGTGGGAGCC